CTTTTTCCTTTTTTTTCTTTCATCTCTCTCACTTTTTCTTTCTTCCTTTCTCTCTCTCTCTCTCTCTCTCTCTCTCTCTCTCTCTCTCTGAGTGTGTGTGTGAGTGTGTGTGTGCGTGTGTGTGTGTGTGTCAGTGGTGGGTTTCAAAAAAATTTGGAACCTCTTCTGTAGGTGTGGCCTGCTTTCCGGGTACACTGGTGGAACCTCTTCTAACCGGTTCAGTAGATTTGACGAACCGGTTCTACCAAATAGGTGCAAACTGGTAGGAACTCACCTCTGGTTTGTACAATCTCATTTTATTGCTAATGAAGATCTCTGGCTGCTGAGTGTTGAATGACGGGGCAACAAAATAGCATACAGGTAGTCCTCAACTCATGACCACAATGGAGCCCAAAATTTCTGTTTGTTAAGTGAGACATTTGTTAAGTGAGTTTTGCCCCATTTTACGGCCTTGCTTGCCACAACTGTTAAGTGAATAACTACAGTTGATAAGTTGGTAACCTGGTTGTTAAGTGAAACTGGCTCCCCATTGAAGGTTGCAAGATATGACCTTGGGACACAGCATTGGTCATAAGTGTGAACCATTTGCCGAGCCTCTGAATTTTGATTACATGATCATGAACATACTTTAAAGGTCGTAACTGTGAAAAATGGTAATAAGTCACATTTTTCAGTGTCATCGTAACTTTGAACAGTCACTAAATGAACTGTTGTAAGTCGAGGACTACCTGTATTAGGCTTGGATAGGAAATGTTTTGCTCATCCTGAATTGTGGTTTGGGCACTCTACTATTATCTTGAAAGAACCACAAAACTATTCTCAGTTGATCAAGCAGGTTTCCATTGCCTGCAAATATGACACACTGATTGTCGGAGTAAGGAAGAGTCAAATTCTAACAGTTGTGTTTGTTTCCACTAAGGAGGACTTAGAGCTAGACAGAAATTCTCTAAACCGTCCACTCAGTGGCCGTAGCTTTCCACGAAGCCTCGATGATTCGGAAGAAGATGATGATGACGACAGTGGACACAGCTCCAGAAGAAGAGGCAGCAGCTCAAGTGGTGTCTCCTATGAAGAGTTTCAAGTGTTTGTGTTACAGTTTTTTTTCCCCCTGTCAAATCCCATTTTATTAATTCTAAAATACGGAGTTATGATATGATTTGTAATACCTAACTCTCTTTCCATACGAATCTGCTTTCCAATTGTACCCTGGCTGAAAATAACTCTCCGGAGTAGACCCAAGTGTCAGGATTCCAAGTAACAGACCCAAGGCAATCAAGAATCTGAGCTCTGGTGGTTTCTCAAAGCATCGATTTATTAGGATTGTCATATTGGCACATTTGGGGAAACCCAGCTCTGAAGGACCTGAGGTTCCCCCCCCCCAATCAAAATCCAAAATTCTTGCCCCCGTGTCACACATCCACCACATAGTCCAATCAGGTCACAGTCCCATCTTCAGCGGGCTTTGGTCTGCTCCTCGCCAACACCTGGTGAAGTGTCCTTGGCTCCCACAGGAAAGAATGTTATGTTGGCTACGCATCCCCCAACTATCTCTACCTCCCTCCTCCCATTCCCACAGCTCCAACCAGCCTCGCTGCGGCAGCCCTAATGATGCTCCCAAAATGGTTTCAGGGCTGACACTAAGGCTACTTCAGAAATTCTTATCCAAGAGTCCACCAGACTTAATCGTTATGGATGTCCCTCAGAAAAGTAGTAGATGAAAAGTTGGTGTAGCTGTTATTCTACCTATCTTTGGGATAGATATTTAAAAGAGAACGTGTTGTTCATACTGTTCTTGAAACCATAACTGTATCAAAATGCATTTTGCTTTCAGTTTGGTCCGCCGAGTGGATCGCATGGAACATTCCATAGGCAGCATTGTATCCAAGATAGATGCTGTCATAGTCAAGCTGGAAACTATGGAGAGAGTTAAACTGAAGCGAAAAGAGGTCTTGGGCAGGCTGCTTGATGGAGTTGCGGAGGTAAACTTGCTTACAAGTTTAAATATTCAGTATTTTGCAAAAGTTACTGTTTTATGTTTAATTCCTTCAGTTGAAAGGACATCGCTAATTGATCATGTGCCATATAGCCATTGTCAACTCTTCGTGAGCAACGTAGATAGATTTTTGTTATAATAATCTGTCTTTAACTTGCTCTTTCTAGTCCCACCCACTGCTTAGGCAGGAAATCCTATAACATTTCAGACAAATGGTTATCCAGTGTCTTAAAAACTTCCAGTATTATATTATATGTTGTACTATGAATTATAATCAATAATTCCTAGCAAGTTATTTAGTCAAGAGTTATACCATTCTGATTACAGATAGTTCTCGACTTACAACTGCTCCTCACACAACTGTTACAGCATCCCCAGGTCACACGATCAAAATCTGGGAACTTAATAACTGACGTGTATTTACAACAGTCGCAGCATCCTGGGATCATATGATTGCCATTTGCAACCTTCCCAGGTGGCTTCCGACAAGCCAAGTCAACGGGTAAAGCTGGATTCTCTCAATGATTACATGATTCACTTGGTTCCACCACAAAACCGCGTTCGACTAAAGCGCGCTCGACGAAACCGCGTACCTGACGTCATCACAGC